TGGTACTACCAGTTCTAGATATGCAAAGGCCACACATGTGAAGTGTATAAGACAACTACAGTTAAAGAGAAAAATATATTTTCCTACTTTTTACCTCATTACCCCACATTCATGAACTCTCAAAAGAAAACAAAACAAAAACAAACCCACAACTGATGTACCACATACACTGCCTTCCACAAAAGCCCTATTTTTTTTTTTCCTCATGCCATTTCTTTCATCTTGACTGTTTCTGAGACTCATCTGTCCATCTCAATTATATTTTATATCCAGGTCATTGTCAACCGTTCTTTAGTTTTCTCATAGATTCCAAGAGAGGAATTTAGAAACTGTCTAGTCTAACCCCCCCTTTTTATAGATGAAGAATCTGAGGTCCACAGATGTTAAAGGACTGTCTAATGCCATGTGAACTGTTAGTAACAGAGCTGGAGCTCAGAGCATACACCTGTACCCTCGTTTCTCTACTACATGCTGTTATAAATTCATACAGTATCTATAATACCATTCACTTGGTGATTTTTATGACCTTATAATGTTTAAACTCTTGTATTTATATCTTACCTGTTCATGACTATAAACTCATTTAAGGTAGTTGCTCTATTTTGCACTCTAAGAAAATGAAAATCTTGTGCAGTGTTTTGACAATAGGTGCTTAAAACAACTTAATAATCCTTTTACTCATCTTACTCATTCCTTTTCCATTCAGGAAATCTTAACGGTATTCTCTAAGCCATCTATCATAAATACTTCCTTTTCTTTAGAGACTCTCAACTTCTTTTTTTTTAATGACTTCAAATGAACCTTTAGCTTAGCTGCTTTTCCTTCAATCTCAGAGTAGGAAGAATCTCTTTCTCCTCTCCAAATACACACTGTGACTTTAAATGTAATCCCAACAGCCTCCTTTAGAACCCCTGCTGTTACCCTCACAGGTCACTCACCCGCCAGGGGCTCCCCTCCTGGAGACAGTGCAAACATTTACACCTCTCCCGAAGAAAAAATCAAGGTAACCCTCTGTTCAAATCTGATTCCTCCTCCAGAGAGGACCCCTGCCCCTCTCTCTATAACAAACACCTTGATACTGTATGGTGACTAACATAATAAAATAAAATAAAATAAAAATCACCCAAACACCTTGCAAGAGAAACGAGTCCACTTAACTTATTTTATCCTTCCTCTCTTTTTGATGAGATATGACACATATAAAAGTTTACATGTATCAGGAAAAATTATGATAGACTCTGAAATAGGCAAAAAAAATTACCAGGTGTCCCGTCTTCTGGACTTTTTGAGTTATATGACAACTCAGTTTTTGAAAACTAGTAATAATACAAATTCCTGTCCATAAAAATGCCAATGCCTTATGTCCAGTAAAATGTAATAATGCTCTGTGGATGCTGACCAGTGTTGCAACTCTGTGTAAATTCATTTTAGCATTCTTTAGTGCCTATCTGGTATGTGTGGTACTTTGAATTCTCTCCTGAAATGGTTGCAGTATCTTCCTAATTCCTTTATAAATTTAATGATTTAAATAAAACCGTGACATGTATTCATTTTGTATTTGTGTAAGAATCATGATTTTACCATTTAAAAAAGTATATTCTAACCCATGTAATATTGGCTGTTATCAAACAATATAATAAATACTGGTGAATGACCAGGTAAGTTAAGAAGTACATCACTAGTACTGTTTGTTCCCTGTATCATCTCCCTGCCTCCCGTCCAGAGGTAACTAACCATTATTTCAAAACTTAAGATTATTCCTTTTTTTCCCCCAAGACATATATATAATATATTTACTTTTGCTTATTTTTGAGCTTTAAAAAATCACATTTTATACATGTGTGATTAAATTCAATGATAACATCAGTAAACACAGGTACACAATCAGTAATTTATAGGTGTTTTGTTAAATTTTATAAAATATGGCCTTCTGTGATTGCTGTGTCTCACCATTTTGTTTCCAGGAGTTATTTGTATTATTAAATCAGCTGTAATTCCTTAGACTGAGAATAACTTAACATGTAACTGCATCACAATTTACTTACTCATTTGATAGACTTTTAAGTTACTTCTTCCCTCCCTCCATGTTGCTATTGACATTCTTACAAATTATCTCCTGGGATACATATAAAAGAATTTCCCTAGGAGATTATATATATACATATATATATGGCATTTATATGGTATATTAATGTTCAACTTTACATTGTTTTTTAAAGCTTTATCAATTCACACTGCCACTGATAGCATGTAAGTTTCTACTGATCCACACTTGTGCTACACTTGATATTATCAGTCTTCTTGACTTTTGCCAATCTTGAGGGTATAAAATAATATCTCATTGTGTTTTAAGTTTCATTTTCTTAATTGGTAATGAGGTTATACATTTATATTTCTATGAAATGTCTTTTATCCATTTTTTCCTCTGAGTTGTCTCTTTCTTATTGATTTCTAAGTTCTTAATATATTGCAGAAACCCAGCCACTTGGCAGTTAAATTTATCTACTTTTCAACCCACTATATAGTTTGAAGTTTGGGGCGCCTGGGTGGCTCAGTTGGTTGAGCGCCTGCCTTCAGCTCAGTTCATGATCTCAGGGTCCTGAGATCGAGTCCCACATTGGGCTCCTGCTCAGCAGAGAGTCTGCTTCTGCTTATCCCTCTCCCTCGGCCCTTCCCCCTGCTTGTGCACTCTCTCAAATAGATGAATAAAATCTTTTTAAAAAAATTATAGTCTGAAATCTGCATCTTGCTGCTGAAACTTATTCTAGCAAAAGTATGAAGGACCTGTTCATTAAATCTTTATTTATTTTTTAAAGATTTTATTTATTTATTCAACAGAGAGAGAGAATGAGCAGGGAGAGTAGCAGAGAGAGAGGGAAAAGCAGACTCTCCACTGAGCAGAGAGCCCAATGCGGGGCTCTATCCCAGGACCCTGGGATCATGACCTGAGCCGAAGGCAGGTGCTTAACTGACTGAACCACCCAGGCACCCCTGGTCCCAATGTCTTAATGACTGAGCCACCCAGGCGTCCCATTATTAAATCTTTAAACATCTCTCTCGGTCTCCTGCTGCTTACTAGTGTCTCAGCAATATTTTTTTATCATTCTCTTTGTTCCCTGGGGCTTTACTAGCTCTATTGGCTTGAACCTTCCTACCTTCCCACACCCCCTCCATTCTCCTTTTTCCTCATGTTCCCTAGAACTTGGTGTTCTCCATGATTCTGTCATTAATCTCACTTTGCATGTACTTCTTCTGGATTATCTTATTTCTGTAGCCTCAATCATCACCTAATTGCCGATAACTTTCCGAGTCTCTCTTTAGAACTGAAATCTTAACTTTAATTTTCAATTTAACATGCCAAACTAAGCACTAGTTTCAAAACACCTTACATCCCAACTTCCTGACTTGGTTAGTGATATTACTAATGTTAAAATTAGAAAGTTCAAAACCACTCAAGTAAAAAAGCTTAGGAGAAACCTACTATCTCATATTTCCCCCCAGATTAAGCTATCAGTGAATACAAGAGGATCAAGTAATACTAAATGATCAAGTAACGTATTACATAACATATACCAGAGGCTAAAAGCTGGCATTCCATCTGTCCCAATGTTTTTTTTTTTAAGATTTTATTTATTCATTTGACACAGAGTGAGCGAGAGAGCGAGACAGAGAAGCATAAGCAAGGGGAACAGCAGGCAGAAGGAGAAGCAGCTTCCCGCCGAGCAGGGAGCCTGATGTGGGGCTCCATCCCAGAACCCTGGGATCATGACCTGAGCCAAAGGTAGCCGCTTAACGGACTGAGCCACCCAGGCGCCCCTGTCCCAATGTTTTTAAAACCAGGAAATATCATAGGAAATATCTAAGTGACTTCTCTTCCTAAAAAATGGGGAGATCTGGCAACAATGAGGTACAGCTGAGAAGGGTGCAGATCCCACTGTATTAACCTTAAGGATGCCAGTTTGTCCTCTCATTTTCCTTTGTTATCTTACTTCAGGTTTATTTCACTTACTTACATTACCTCCCTCATACTTGTGAGCATTTGTCATTGTAGACCCTTGAGTTTGCAACCCCTGGTATACATATATATATCACAGAATTTAAAGAAACGATTCTGTGAAAGGGGCAGAAACTGGGCTGACTTTAAATAATGTTGATCAACAAAGGGATAATGTTAGAATCTAGCAGAAAGAAAAAATAGCTCAAGCTAAGGCAACAAGGAGGGGAAAGCACAAGGTATATAAAGAAATTAGAAGCTCCCCAAATTTTACCTAGAAGCAGCAATCAGTAATTATAGAATCCAAGGAGAGACAGTGGCATAATGCTTTGGAATTAGATTCAAACCCTAGTTCTATTACTTAGTAGTGAAGTATCAAATCAGTTAAGATGCCCCAATTTTTGTTTCGTTAGCTATTGAGTTACTTAATCAACATTTCTGGGTTTAATGAAATATAATAGCACAGTTAGTACTGAACAGTTACTAATTCTCTCTCTAGACTTTTCTAAATCCACATAGCCAGTGGGGAGTCAGAACTCTTTTTCAGGCCAGGGTTATGTTTGCTTTTAAATCTCAAAACATCAACTACTAAGAATAACCTTATTCAGACAAGAGGGGTCATGTTTTTAGAATAGGAGGAAGTGACATTATATAACATGAGAATTTTTTCAAGTATTACATTTCTGAATTTTATATATAGATTTCCATTTATTTTTAGTAATTATATATATGAACAGTTTTATCTTAAGAGACATTACAGAGTAAGATATATCACAACATCAAGTTTCATCTGTTTAAAACCTTCTGAAAGGGCAACTTAGTAAAATGTTTAAAAATTCTTCTACACTATAAAGAGTATTACATTAGGTGGCTGCCTCCTGACAAAGTCTAACTCTTGTTCTTTGTAACAACAACAACAACAAAAAAACCCAACTTATCAGCCTGTTACTATTTCTGAGAAGTTGAGTACTATTTTTTTCAGTATTCAAGTTAAAAGATCTCTGGCCAGCAGACTAAAATGTTTGTTTTATAATTGCCCGCTGAACTATGATAGTTTGTTTCCAGATGGTGCCCTTCCTTCAACCTGCACACAGTCTCTCCTTGTTCAGAGCTATTCAGCCTCCTGCTGATCCCACTACCCCCACCCCTATTTAAGGCTACAGAGAGGAAATCCTAAGGAGGAGATTTTCCCCCCTAGTCTCCAGCAATTTTTTGGTGACGTAATATGTGGGCTGAACTTGAGTTTACCGAGAAAGAGGGAATCACTATTCGAGGGTGCTGTATATACAATCTGGGTCAGCTGCAGCTGGTTACTGCACTTCTCCATGTGGCAGTCAGAGCAAAGCCACAATGCTTTCTCTGCCGGATTAAAGACAGCCCACAGACCAGAACTTCCACTATACTACTTAAAATTACATAGGTGGCTTGTCAAGTTCAATTGATTAGTGTTGTAAGAAGAAAAAGAAGGTCCTTATTACTGGTTGGATCTGACGGTCCAAAACAAAAATGCAATTGCCATTAAAGTCACAGATGAACAAACATCTACACTGATTTTTAAAAGCAAGAATAAGAGCAGCAAGTTTCTGGGTCTGCTTTATCAACAGATGCATAAAGGTATTTTAATATTTCTTTTATTTTTCTTTAAAATTCTGTGTATGTTCAAAATTTTGCATTTGTAGAAATTTCAAAATCTTTTATTAAACAAAGAATTTTAAAATATACTACAATTTATTTTAGTTGAAAAAGGTTTTTTTTTTGCACCTCTATGTAAAAAACTGATTATGTATTTTGTGATGATTAGTGCATGATTTGAGGTTCAATTTAATAATATTTGGTATATATGCTTATACATTGGTACATACATGTTAGGTTTCAGAAAGTAAGTGCTTTAGTGACCCTAGAAATTTTAACAAATAACAAATTAAATGTATAAGGTTTGTAACGCAGTGATTAAAAACAAAGGGATACAAACAAAAGAAAAGAGCTATAAACATGAGTTTCTCTCCACACAATTCCAGTGTGTGTGCGTTGGCAGGTCACGTATACTGTTAGAGATCTTCAAGTACAGCTACCAAACACAGCTAAAAAAGATATAAAATCAACTGAAAGGCTTTGCAACAATTCCTCAATTATAGTATAACCAAATATTAAGCAGAAATTTTTGTAAAGATTTAAGCTATATCTCTGGTATTTCTTGCAAAAACTCAAAATTTTATTAAATAACTTTCCAGGTTTACATGTAAGTTATTTAACTTGGGTAACAGAAATTAAAACTGCTATACCTAGAATTACTTAAGAAAGCAAAGTTATTGATACATTAAAAAAACCCTAAAACTTAAAAAAAACCCCTAAAACTTTACAGATTAGGACTAAGGAAAAAAAATAAAATGTGACAGAAATATTATGTAAGCAGTCAGCAGTAAAGTAGAAAATAAGAACCCAGAAGATATAATTACTTAAATACATGATTAAAAGACCAAAAATACATAATATTTTTAGACAGACATAATTTTGGTAATCATACAAGAGGTTTCTTTCACTATTCTACTTTAACTGTATTATGAAAACTGTTAAAAATAAAATTACTAGTTAAAACACCAAAGACACTTAAGTGTTTTATGATTTGGGGATCCTCTGTTCTTTAAAACTAAAGACATTAAATGGTAAGAATCTTCAACAAGCAAATAATTGTAGAGCTCAGATTTCTTCAACTTTACATTCATGTCTTTTCCTTAAAGATTCAAACTCTAAATCCTGGGAGGATCTCTCTTAAACATATTTTACAAGAAACTGATAAAGTGTCAAAGCAATTCTGCCATCTCTCTCTTTTCCGCTGCTGCTTGCTGTGAAAAGTGCAGGACCTCATTAAACCTCGGTTCTTACTGAAGCCTTAGGCAAGCCCTGATTCTGAAACCCCAAACACACAGATAACTACTATCCCTTTCTTCAGAGGGGGTGAGACTGTTCTCAAGTCTTTTCCCAGAACATAATTAAAATCTAGAAGTATCTAAGGCATCTTCAATGCTTCATAAATTTATAGGGTCACTGCCTCATGCTGTTTTCAGTGCACGACATAGCCAGTTAAATGCCTCTATGCATTTACTATCGGAAAGGAAGTAACTCCTGATTTTTATTTCTTCTCTCTACTAGCTGGCAGTGTAGCAACTATGAAGAGAAATAGTACCAATAAAATTAACCCAAAGCACGGACGACTTTTTTTCTTTTTTCCTTTTTTTTCCCTAAAAACAACCAAGCAAAGGCATAGATTTAAACTTAAGTATACTGTAACTAATTTATAACATTCTCTTGGGACCTAGGAAAGTTTTAACATATACAGAAAGGTTTTATGAGGTAACACAGATTTATAGATCTTACACTTTTAAAACAGAACGTGGTGGGAAAATATTAAATAAGAGAATGTTTTCAGAGAATGTAACAGTAAATGTATTTTTAAAACCAGTTCTTACTCATGACGTAGCTAGTCTACTACTTCAGAAATGTGGCTCCTTATTCTTCTTTAGGTGACAACGAAGTCATTACTTTTATAAGGTCAAAGGAATTATATTTATTTAAGAACAAACGTTTAGTTGCCTCCTTTAAATACTTAGGTCAGATTCTCTTATGGTACACAATGATTTATCTTATGATTTAATCGTATAGGAGCCCAAAAAGAGCCAAGGAAGAACACACCAAAATGAAGCTATTGCTATTTTAATTTCACATCTTTGTTCTTTCATGACAACACTGACGTAAAGTCACAATAACAGTCCTGGATTATATGTTCTTAGTTGTCCTATACAAATCTGTGTCTGGTAGGAATACAAGCCATTCCAATCAGAATATTGTTCATGAAATTCTACTTGTTTTGAAGTTTCATTACAGCTGCTGAACTTCCCTTGTTTTGGTAGCTTATCTCATAGATTAAATAATTTTATGATCTAAGAATTTCCATTCTATTATTAAAGTAAAATGAGGGAATCTGAGGACTAGTAAGTTCACTATGTAGGGGAAATACTGTACATTTTACCGTCCCAGTTTTAAAAATAAACCATATCTAAATCCCATGAATCTGCAAATACAACAAGAAATCTTTTATTGGTAGCTCTAGTACAAAAGCCCTTTTCCTACAAAATAGATGACCTTAAGGTCTAAATTTTCTCTTGATATCAGAGACAAAATAAAAAAACAAAAAACTAAAAGTACTCATCCAAGTGCGCTTTTGTTTATCAGTAAGGAATAGAAGTAACTAATATATAACTGATATAAATAACTGATATAAATATGGAATACTATTGTGCTCATTCCTCCTATCTTGATTATGTTAGTAAGAGAAAAATAATTTTCCATACTCCATCCACTCTTTGCTTTATTTTCATTATCACTCCACTTTGAAAGCACCATTTATTTGAAAACACCCAAAGGAGACATGGTTTTAAAAAGTAGCAGTCATCTTTATGGCTATAGTTAAAGAGTCCATATTTCATGGATCATAAGAACCATTATTTTTTGGGAGGGTTCCTAATCACAAGTTAGGCAAGTAGCTATCAACTGATATAATACATACAGGGGGAAGGAATGACAGCAGCAAAGTTTGGGACTGAAAAATGATGGAAGCAGAGCCTAACAAAAATGATTCACAAGGGGGCGCCTGGGTGGCTCAGTTGGTTAAGCGACTGCCTTCAGCTCAGGTCATGATCCTGGAGTCCCGGGATCGAGTCCCGCATCGGGCTTCCTGCTCAGCGGGGAGTCTGCTTCTCCCTCTGACCCTCTTCCCTCTCGTGCTCTCTCTCATTCTCTCTCTCTTAAATAAATAAAATCTTTAAAAAAAAAATGATTCACAAATACCTGTTCAAAAATAAATAATGGGTCCATATAAAGACCTACAAACCAGGAAAAGACTGAAAAACAAGCAGCACAAAGTTAAGGCTCCTCCATAGTTACAGCATGACTAGGACAAAAAAAAAATCACAGGTCTGGAAAAGTTAGGAGTAGAAGAACTGAATCCAATCTGAGCGCTAATTTTGGCTTCTCTGGGACTTTATTTCTTTGTAAAAAGAGTATTTTATTTCACAGTGTGATTGTGAATGCAAATTCATGTAAGGGACTGTTATGCTGCTGGTGATAGAAAACAGGACAGAATATGCTGCCATATGCTGTGGTGGTTAATGAAAAAGAAAAACATCAACCCTGGAGTCTTTTGCCTAGGTTCAAATTCTGGCTCCATCTCTCAGAAGCTGTGTGACTCTCTCTGGGTAAGGTACTTAATTTCTGAATGCCAGTCCTTCACTGAAAATGAGGACTGTAGTACTCTATCTCAAAGGGCTGTAGTTACAAGTAATTGACTTAATACATGCAAAGGGGCTTAAAACAAGGCCAAGCACCCAGTAAGTATGAACTACTGCTACTACTACATTGCTATTATTAATTGTAGGCATAAACAACATGGAACCCATCTTCTCAAACCAAAAAAACAAGAACTTGGGTGCAAAGTGGGACAGAGAGTTCTTAGTATATCCACTGCCATCCTTCAAAAACAGCAGAGCAGGCACGCAGTCCAGTCTATCAGAGGGGAAGGTGGGCCACGTGCTCCAGCAGCCTGCTTGTGCAGCTGAGGGAGTGGCACGCCTTACCCACTCTACTGCTACTCCTTCTGAGGGAGGTAACTTGTGAGAAAGGAAGCAGCTTTGGTTCTTAGACCTCGTACTGGTGTTTCTATAGCAATTGTACAGTGAGGGACAGGTGTCTCTCTGTCACAGCAAAAATGAAACACTCCAAGCACACATGCCAGCAAGACATGCCACTGCTGTCAACGCTGACTGAGGAGCCGGGGAACCTGAATTCTTGACCTGGTTCTAATCCTGCCGATTTGCGTGGCCCTGGCTTTCAACACGCACATGGGTGCAAAGAGGTTCTCTAAGGCACTTTCCAACTCTAACAATCATATTCAATTACAGAGACTTTCTTACCTTGGTAATGGTTACAGAAAACTATTGAAATTGTACTACAATACAGTTCAGTAGAATCTCTGTTACAAGAATGAAACTGCTAAAAAAAAAATGAATGAACCTGCTAAATCATACATAAGCTTAGAGCATTTATATGATTATGATTTAGAAAACACAATTACCCACAATGATGACTGTAAACATTCTCTCATTCTTAAACTTGTCACTAATCCCAAAAGGACATGCCACAAAAACAAAAAATATGATGCCAAAACTTTCTGGTTTGAGATCTAAGAATGTGTCTTTAATCTGATAGATAAAAAAGATATTACAGAGGGCCAATTTAATTAAAAACAGGTAATATAAATATAAAATAATAGCTAATAAAGTCACCTCCTATTAACTTTAATACTAGTTAGGGAAGAGTGGCACCTGGGTGGCTCAAGTCGGTTAAGCGTCTGCCTTTGGCTCAGATCATGAGCCCAGGGTCCTGGGATCAAGTCCCACATCGGGCTCCTTGCTCAGCGGGGAGCCTGCTTCTCCCTCTGCCTCCCCCTCTTTGTGCTCTCGCTCTTTCTCACTCACTTTCTCTCAAATAAATAAAATCTTAAAAAAATTAATAGAATATTTAATACTAGTTAGGGAAGAATGTTTTAATCAAAGTATCATTTTCAGAGTCTTAAGACAGTGAGTAAACTTTTCAACGGTAAGAAAAGTGTCTTATTAGGGTCTCAAAGCACCCAAGAACACTAACCCTTTGCCTTTGCACACAGTGGGCACTGAGCTGAGGAACAAAAAGCATTACAATGAGGTGGTAGTTGGAGAGCTATTCTCTGAAACCTGAATTTTAAACAAATGCAAAGGCATCATGGTGTTGAATTTAACAAATCAGTAACATTAATTCTGGCCCAGTTTAGTAACACCAATAGATACCTAGTTCTAACCCCCCCTTTTTAAATATATTATTAACTTTAAAAGTAGGTTAAAATGAATTTTTTACTTTTTCCCTTCATCGGTTTATTTTTTTTACTTAAGACATGAACTTTAATGTAGTTTTCCAGTAATACATTTTAAAATTCTAAAAATAGTATATTTAACAATTTTCGATAAATCAGAAGGTGCAGGCAATGCAATCCGCATGGCTGAGAATTCTTTTGGAGCACATTGGTTTTATTAGTTTTTGTTTATTTTTTAATGGAGCACCTCAGATATAAACAATTATTCCTAACACCAATATAATACAACTAGCTAATAACAATATCATCTTGACTGCAAGATGATACATCCTGGGTTTTGCTCATGTTTATTATTCTACTTTATTTATTTGCTTATTTATTTATATTTTCATTGGTTTGTTTTCTAAAAGACTTCATACGACCTCATTTCAAAATGAAGGCTTTTATCTGGATCCTTAGTGTGCTATTCTTCCTACTAATGGGCATTGGACACTGCAGAGGAGGCCAGCTCAAAATAAAAAAAACAACGCAGAGAAGATACCCTCGTGCCACAGATGGTAAAGAGGAAGTAAAGAAATGTGCATATACATTCCTGGTCCCTGAACAAAAAATTACAGGGCCAATTTGTGTCAATACCAAAGGGCAAGATGCAAGTACCATTAAAGACATGATCACCAGGATGGACCTTGAAAACCTAAAGGATGTGCTCTCCAGGCAGAAGCGGGAGATAGACGTCCTGCAGCTGGTGGTGGATGTAGATGGAAACATTGTCAATGAGGTAAAGCTACTGAGAAAAGAAAGCCGTAACATGAACTCGCGTGTTACTCAACTCTATATGCAACTACTACATGAGATTATCCGTAAGAGGGATAATTCACTTGAACTTTCCCAGTTGGAAAATAAAATCCTCAATGTCACTACAGAAATGTTGAAGATGGCAACAAGGTACAGGGAACTAGAGGTAAAATATGCTTCCTTGACTGATCTCGTCAATAACCAGTCTGTGATGATCACTTCATTGGAAGAACAGTGCTTGAAGGTATTTTCCCGACAAGACCCCCATGTGTCTCCTCCTCTTGTCCAGGTAGTGCCACAGCACATTCCTAACAGTCATCAGTACACTCCCGGACTGCTGGGAGGAAACGAGATACAGAGGGATCCAGGTTATCCCAGAGACTTAATGCCACCACCTGATCTGGGAACTTCTCCTACCAGAAGTCCCTTCAAGATACCACCAGTAACTTTCATCAATGAAGGTAAGTTACCTCTTACTGTTAAAAATGGAAGTATGAGGTTAATATGTTTTATGGTTTGTGAAACAATGCACATAATAAGCCCTTATTCTTCATCCTGGTGATGTAATTATACATGGACATTTTTGTTTTCTATTAATCAAGAACTGAACTTAAATACTTCTCTCAGCTCCGAGTCTAAGGGTTCCCAAAAACTGTATTCTGTGAGGAAAGTATTGCCTTCCAACCAAATTCTTACAATCTAAGTTACTAGCATTAAGACAGGAATGAGTCCACAATCCACTTCTAACCTCTACAACCATCCTATCCGCCTCCAGCTAGATCCTCTTGCTGCTCTTCTCATTCTCCTCCTTTCCAAAGGGAACAAATAAAAAGTTGCTTTCACTCTCCTTAAGCCTATAATTATACTTCCTCTTTACCTCCACTCTCAGAAACGCACCGTCTACTGCTGTACTGAGATGTCTACTCAGGTCCAAGGTTCCTTGTTCTTTCTTATCTTGAAAACATCTGCACAACGCCCATGCTTTCTTGTCCTCAGTCTTAAGAGGAAAAGGTATCCCTTCTATTTTCCAAGGCTAAACAAACTACAATCTGTATCATATACCCAGTTTTCACCAAGATATCAAAAAACCCTAGAATTGATCCTAATATCCGTTGCTCTATTTCTTCTCTCCTTCCTTCCTCCCTTATCGATCACTGATCTAAGTGCCCAGAATACGAAGATGAATAATCCACCACTGGTTGTTTAGTAAGTTCACTGCTAACTTTCTAAATATTTTAATTTTATTTTACCCCTGCATCCATTTTCTCATAAAGCATTCTCCTGAATTCTTTACAGGTTGATGTGTTTCCTCAGAGTGGAAAGAAAAGCCCAAATGCCCAAAATTAAAAAATAAATCACAGTTCATTCACTTATTGAAAAGGCAGCACATAAAACTGCACATGGACTATGGAATAATTTTAAACAACAAGAAACAAAGACTGGAAATACACATAGCATAAAATATCTCTCTGCAGCAATGGACACCACTGACCATTCACATCTCTTGTTTTCCTGGGCCTCCACATCATAATATTCTGACTCTTCCCACTTCTCCAGGTCCTTCATTTGCATCTTCTTCCACTCCTACAGCTTAAAAAGTTTTCCTCAAGATTCTCTATTTTACAGGTCTCACATACCTTCAAGGCTCCAAGTATCACCACTGCTCAAATGCCTCCTGCCTGGAGCTCTCCCTCCTGATTCTAACCAATGCTGAATGTTGGCATCTGGATGTTCTACCATCACTTCACACGGCGCTGCTTCCTCCCCTGAAATGCCTTCTTCCAGCTTATCTGTCAACCTGGCAGATTTCAAGGCTTAAGTAAAATATTATCTTAAATGTTACACATTCCTAGATTCAAACAAACAGATCTCGATGGCTCTTTCCCCAAACTGCTAACTACGCCTTGAACACATTTTCTATATCACATTACACTAGGGTTGTTTGCATGTCTGTCTCCTGCTAGACTGAACGCTTCTGGAAGAAAGTGAACTGTGTTTTCATTTTTCTATCTCAAACACATAGCCAAGAATCAAGCTTTGGCACATTGTGCTCAGCATATTTTAAGCACTACAATAGATTATCTGAGGCATGAGTGAATGAATAACTAAAGCCTAAAATAATCTCTTTCCCAACCTAGGATTTTCCTTCTAGAAGTAATTATTATAGAGGTAATACATATTTACCTTTGAAGAAAATCTAGAAAATACTAATAAGCTTTTTAAAAAGCTTCATTGAGGGGCACCTCTGCCTCTGCCTGCCTCTCTGCCTACTTGTGCTATTTCTGTCAAATAAATAAAAATCTTAAAAAAAAAAAAGCCTCACTGAATATCCAAATAGAAATAAACAAAAAACATTTCGGTAATAACCTTCAAGTCTTTTTTTCCTTTCTTGTTAACACAGTAATCACTATTCTTGCAATTTTAAAGGATAACTTTTGTTCTTTTTCTTTCTCTGTGATTATATCCTTAGGATAAACCTCCATTAGTAAGATTGATGGGTCATCTGATTTTGATTTCTCTATTGTGATTTATGCTGCTCCCTATTTCTGAATTTGCTTGGCTCATCTCTGTCAATTCCCTCCTGCCCCACACACGTAGTCAGCTAAGTTCTATCCATGTTGCTTTTCTTTCACGGACTTGTCCCTCATTTTTTTCTTTTCTTTTTTTTAATTTTATTTATTTGAGAGAGAGGGAGAGACAGCACACACAGGGGGAGGGGCAGAGACAGAGGGAGAAGCAGGCTCCCCGCTCAGCAGGGAACCTGATGCAGGACTCAATCCCAGGACCCACCCTGGGATCATGACCTGAGCCGAAGGCAGACGCTTAACCGACTGAGCCACCCAGGTGCCCCTTGTCCCTCATTTCTATTCAGAGACAGAACGCTAACTTAGATCCAAGTTATCTACGGCAGCAGCTGGAGGATAGAGACTTCTGGATTATTATAGCTCTGTCACCTTGGGGGTGGGTGGGAAACTGCTCGGTGCCTCAGTTTCCTCATCTGTAAAAAAAGAGGATATTAATTGTACTTACCTTACAGAATTTAACACTTGAGGAGTGCTTAGAACAGTGCCTGGCACTCAAAATGTTAACTCTTATTAGGAATGGTATAATAGCTTGTTGACTAGTCTAACTCCATTTTCTCTCTCCATCAAAATATATTCTATATTGCCAACAGATCTATCTTCTTAAACTACTACTTTGATCACATCACACTTCTGCTCAGCGGTTCCCCATTACACACAGAAAATGTGCATTTTGCTTAGCCTGGGTAAGAACAATATCCTCCTCAAATGAAACCTACTTCTTTAACTTTCCTTCTATTAATTTCCTTCACAAAAACCATCTGCTTCAATAAAATGAATCAACTCATTGTCTGTGAAATATTTATCATGCTTTCTGCCTATTATAAGGCTCAGATAAAATAAAATAAAGTAGCAATTCCTCCTTGGAGCCCTTGTTGACTTCCTCAGGCTTAAAGTGATTGCTCCTCTCCATGAATCTCTTTTCTCTGGAACATAAAATATATACAACATTCCTTATATTCCCTCTTGAATTATCAGTTATCTTCACATGTACTTACAGCACTCAAATACACATCTAAGTAAAATGCCTTCCAGCTATAATGTAAGCTCCTTCCTGGTAAATGGATATTTGCAGATGCTAAATAAATGTTGGTTAACTTACTACATTTTTATAGAGCTTTCTAAAGTTTTCATTCCACAGACCTTCATGAAAGTACTTTAATACATTCTACTGTACTGGATTAATTCAATTTATACTGTTCTAACTCTCAGTAACAACAGGCTAAAATACCATTATGTTAGGTAAATGATGATCACTATTAACATCCTCACACCCTTTGATTTTCAAAGTAAAGATGTATATAAAATGATCCACTGGGTATAGAAAGAAAAAATATGTATTTTTTAATGATCTTTTAAAAAGTATGTGTTTTGTGTAAGCTTTTAATGTGTACAACTTCTCAGCAAAGTATTTATTCATATAACATAAATAAACTGAAGAGTGTGGAATTTTTTTTTAACTGAAGGAATGTACAATTATATAGGTACGGAGATGACCATCATGGAGTATTTTCTGTGGGTGTTGAATCTTAAGCAGATGGTATCATCAAGTTCTCGAAGAAATTATTATTCACATACTCATACACTGATACATTAAAAAATACTTACACAAAATGAGCTATATCAGTTCTAGATTTTATTATACATTGAGCTGTAGTGCAGGAATAATCCTGTATTTCAGAATTAAATCCCATGCTAGGGATTTAGCATAAAAAAGTCCCATTAAACAGACTTTTGTTTTAATAAAACAATGGTTTTATATCCCCATTAACCAATCCTTAATGTAAAAATTAAGGGCAGATATAACTTCTGTTATTCACTATTTGTTTGTTGTCACAAGTAAACATTAACTTTTCACTTATTTTATTCTATAAATATTGGTCTTTGATATTCAAGGACATAATTAGCTACACTATAAGAATGGTCTTTAGAACACTAGCGAACATAAAAGGGAAAGTGCACAGAATTAAGAAAACCTGTTTCCTCTGTCCTTAACCTTGGGGAAGTGACTTTGCCAGTCTGGATCTGTTCTCTCATGTGTATAATGAGACGCTGGTTGGACTGGACAATTCTAACATCACGTCCTATTTCTAATATTCTATGATTCCTGTCAAATATAAGTGACTATAAGTAATGATTAAACTTGCCCTTTCTTTTCTTTATACATAATGTGCAAAAATCTGTGTTTATATTATTCTTATCAGACTGGAAAATATTTGGTTTGGGCTGTTTGGGCACTTGCACAAAAGGGGCAAAGACGGACGGTCCTGCTGTACTTAAAGATGCTCTGGCACCAAGAAGTTTGTATTACTGCACGTGAGGGGGCGTGATCTAGAAGTCTAAAGTCCCTAAATGTATAATGTGTACGTATTCTTTTATAGATGTTTTAGCCAGTCAGAAAAAGTCAAATACTGTATGATTCCACTAATATGAGGTACCTAGAGAAGCCAAATTCACAGAGATAGAAAGCGGAATGGCCGCTGGTGAATGGAAAATTGTTTAACGGGTCCACGGTTTCAGTTCTGCAAGATGAAAGGAGTTCTGGAGATTGGTTGTACAATAAAGAGAAGGTATAAATGCCACTGAACTGTACATTTAAAAATGATGAAGTTGGTAAACTTTGTTATATATATCTTACCATTTTTCTAAAAGGGTGTTTTAATGACAATTTTATATTTTCTTTTAAAATGGTTATAAGAAAAATGCACCTCAAAAGAACTTATTATGAACTTAAAGCAAATAAAGCAATACTTTTGTTAGATTAAAAATAATTACCTCCAGAAACGTTACCCACCCTTCTAGCTTAAAAACAAAATGGGAATGTAACTACACACCTGGCAAATTGCCATCAATAAAATTAACTGTTATTCAGTGGCTGC